TCAGACACAATCTGTGTGATACCTCACCCATTCGGACGACCCTTGTGCGGATCCAGAGGTCAAGGGAGGATGTTGTCAGCCTCAGGGTACCCGGTCCGGTAGCGAAGACTCGAGTAAAACCGACTCTCTGGTCCAAAGATGTCGCAGGGTACACAGTGTCGAGTGTCTGGCTTAACTCTGAAGGAGTTTTGCGTCAGCTGGTTACAGGTGTGTTTATTCGAAGCTATTCTATCGGCGTGACAGAACAGCAGGTGGTTCAGGGTGGCCGTCCCTTATCCTCAGGATGACTCTTGTCGCCACTAGAGCATCGGTGGTGGGTTTAAGAACTGAAGTTACAGCTGCAGAAGATTTAGTTTTAACAAAACCACAGAACACGCCCTCTCAGAGCAAGAAAGCTTTGGTTATGGGGTAAAACATGTGAGAGCAGTTCAACTTTTAGCCTGGATAAGCCCTCTGCGTTGGATGGATTAAGTGGAAGATGACCTTCTGGTTTACTGAACCACATCCCTTGATTATAAACAATTATTATTGATCAAAGAATAATAAGTCATTCCATTGATTGAATGCATTTATAATGAACCATGATGATTATTGTTGATGATTATAATAAACAGTAATAAAGTCAAAAGTTTATTAAAATTATTATTTTAAATTATTATTGTAAAACTTGAAATGTTCTTCATTCTGGGACTGAACAGCAGTAGATAAAGATGATATTCAGCAGACATCATGGCTCCTGGATTAATCTGTGGAACCAAAAGTTACAGTCTGACCCAGCTTGACCCAGCTGGGAAAAATGTGACCTTTGTCACAAATTAGAGGCCCTTCGTGATGCTACAGTTATGGTGAAGACGAAGATGCGATGCACCAGAACCAACAGTTCAGAAGAACATGCATGGGCTCTCATAACACCTAAGCAGTTCCACAGACTATCGACTCCATGTCACGCTGCACTACTGCAGTAATCCAGACCAAAGGAGCCCCAACTAAATATTGAGCTCTGCACAAGCTCATACTTTTATTGTTCATACTTTTCAGTTGACCAACATTTCTAAAATTCATTCTTCTGCATTGGTCTTAATTGATATTCTAGTATTCAGAGACACTGAATTTGGGATTTTCAGTAATTGTCAATTACAGACATGGACAAAATTGTTGGTACCCTTCAGCCAATGAAAGAAACCCCCACAATGGTCACAGAAATAACATGAATCTGACACAAAAAAAATTCCATGAAATGTAACCAATGTTATGCTGCCTGCAACGTCGTTCAACATGACAGGTTTGGTGGTGGGTCAGTGATGGTCTGGGGAGGCATATCCATGGAGGGACGCACAGACCTCTACTGCCTAGGAAATGGTGCTCTGACTGCCATAAGGTATCAAGATGAAATCCTTGAACCCTTTGTCAGACCCTACACTGATGCAGTAGGTCCTGGTTTTCTTCTAATGCACGACAACGCCCGGCCTCATGTGGCAAGAGTATGCAGGCAGTACCTGCAGGATGAAGGAATTGAAACAATTGAATGGCCTTCACGATCCCCTGACTTAAACCCAATAGAACATCTGTGAGACATTATGTTTCGGTCCGTTAGGCGGCGCCAGGTTGCTCCTCAGACTGTACAAGAGCTCAGGGATGCCCTGACACAGATCTGGGAGGAAATGCCACAAGACACCATCCGTTGTCTCATTAGGAGCATGCCCCGACGTTGTCAAGCGTGCACACAAGCTCGTGGAGGCCACACAAGATACTGAAAAGCAATTAGAGTTGCAGAAATTAAGTTTTTGAAATAATGGACTAGCCTGCCACATCTTCATTTCACTCCGATTTTAGGGTGTCTACACAATTGAGCCCTTTGTAGGCTGATGACTCTTATTTCCATTATATAATCTAATGTGTATCTAATGTGTTTCTTTAAAGTGTTCCTTTAATTTTTGTGAGCAGTGTATTACTACTTTTGTCAGATTCAAGTTACTTCTGTGACTGTTGTGGGTTTTTAATTAATGGACTGAAATGTACCAAAAATTTTGTCCACATCTGTATAATCATCAAAATTAAAGCAATAAACATTTGAAATATTCACACTGATTGTGTGTGTAATGACTGAATCTGATATACAAGTTTCACTTTTTGAATGGAATTAAAGAAATAAATCAGCTTCGTCTCGACGTTCTAATTTCATGACCAGAACCTGTAAATGCAAGAATGAATTTACAACTGTTTTGTTCTAAATGTAAAAAATTAAAAGACCAGCAGCAGATATGAAGTGGTAGCATGAATGGTGAAATGATCAAATGAGAAATGATGGAGTGCAGTTTGGTCATTAGTGTTCCACAAAAAGAAAACTAAATAGGAGTATTAGTAATATTGAACATAAATAGAAAGTACCCCTCTACATCCAAGTCCTGCTGGAGAGACAAAAGACATTAGTCTGGAAAATTCCTCCGAGGGCCGCTCACAGACACGTGACAGAGTTTAACATTTACATTTTTAACCTTTTTCCTGAAACAACCTGAAGTTTGGTCTGCTTCTGCATCACTCGGTGGGTCTGTCCTGATGGAAACGCTGCTGCTTCATTATACTGCTTTTGGGGACAATGAGCGTCTGAGCTCATTAAGCCTATAGGACACACACACACACACACACACACACACGCACACAAGCCTGTCCAGATGGTTTTAAGTCATCCATCATTAGAATAAGATTTAGCTTTTTTTCATTCTGAAATAATTTATTCAACTGAAACCCAAACATGTTTAGTTCCTGATAATCCCGCCTCATCAACTCTTTAATCTAATATTTCTTCTCTGTGTAACTCCTTACTTTATCTTCTTGTGTTTTTGTGAATCTGTTTAAACTGGATTCATTTAAATTACATCCCAAAATTGTTTTCTAGAGCAACACAAATAAAATCCTAATAAAATGACAAATGTTGATTTCTTTTGGCCGCTGACCGCTTCAACAGGTGAATAAAGCTGGAGTTCTCAGTTGGCAGCAGACGCATAACGACTCTTTTGTTGTAACACAAAAGGAGTCATAATAACGATTTAATCTCTCCTGAGTTGATCTGCCGTCCTTCAAGCCTACCTATCCAGGCGGTCCCCCAGCAGCCCTGGTGGCAGATGGGACATAACAGAGAGAGAGCAGAGAGGAGCAAGCGAACGAGAACAGGTGGGGGTGAAAACTGAAGAAAAGAAGAGGTCACAGAGGTCACCGTGGCAACAGGAAGGGGGATGAAACCTATGGATGGATCGATAGATTTTTATCTTTCATCCACTTCTTCACCATATGTCCTCCAGCTCTCAAGAAAAGTGAAAAATATCTATCTGTTGGAAGATCTTCAAAATAAACAATTTTGTATTTTGTTTTAAACTCGTTCAGGTTTAATGAGAAAGAAAGAAAGAAAGAAAGAAAGAAAGAAAGAAAGAAAGAAAGAAAGAAAGAAAGAAAGAAAGAAAGAAAGAAAGAAAGAAAGAAAGAAAGAAAGAAAGAAAGACCACCCGTTGGTCATGGAGGAAACCTCAGCAGATTGTTGGACTTCTGCTGGATACTGCCCCCCCCACCCCCCACCCCCACCCCCCCCCCCGCCCTCCCGCTGCGGCACGCCATCCAACCCTGGCAGCTGTTTAACTAACAGAGGCAGAAGGAGCTGCAGGGGAACAATACAGTGTGATTTAACTACCCTCATTCTCCTGCTGCGTGTGTGTGTGTGTGTGTGTGTGTGTGTGTGTGTGTGTGTGTGTGTGTGTGTGTGTGTGTGTGTGTGTGAGAAACATTTTGGCTCTAGAGAACATAAGTGACTTGTACCGTCGTGGAGAAGTTCGGGGTCTTATGAATATTTCATTTTTCTTAACAAAGTCTTCTTATTAATGTTTTAACATGTAAACAATAACAAACCCCCATCCCCAGCCACCCAATAAAAATACATAAAACGGGTCTCATTAACTCAGAATCACAACAAAAAACAAATCCACTAAATAAACAATCACAAACAATAATCCACAAGAACACCATCATCAGTGGTAACCAAATAACATTGAATCCCTTGCTCGAGCCCTCCAAACTGTGCCTAATCCTCTCCAGGTGAACATGCATCATAACCTTCGTGATCCAATTACCTTCTGCTGTTGGGTTAGAGTCCTTCCACCTGAAAAATATGAGTCGTTTAGCCAGCAAACAGCGATCAAAGTGAGCTGGCATGTGGCCGAAGGAGCATCCACCACAACCACTCCAAAGGGTCAAAGGGTCCAGGCCTGCAGTGGTCCCACAAATCCTAGAGAGTGCATGAAAAATACAACTGGAAAGTGAAGAAGTGTGGTAGCTGATGTTTGCAACACTCACAAGTTGGGTCCAGGTCTGTCTGTAGACCAGTGCAGACAGGGCACCGCCTAAACAGGACATCAGTGTCTCACACAAATCAAGAACTGATAACTGTTCTTCACAGCCTTGTGCCAGACCTTCTCCAGCAAGGTCCAACTCCCATTTCTCTAAACTGGTCTGATGGTGTGAACTGAGCAGGGTATAAAGTTTACTCAGAACTTTCCTAGTAGGTGTCTGACAATCCAAGATTTCATCAAAAAGAGTCTGAGATGGGAAACATCAGGGGCGTAGCAAGCTTTTGTCGAGCATGGGTGTTGGGATTTCCCTGACATATATATCCAGTTGTTATTCCACCACAAGGTGTGCACCAGCACCAAAGAGCAGACATGAAAGACACGATGAGTATTACACTAAAACTTATATTTGATTATTTATCCTGTCCTGTCTTTAATCCATTTTGAACACAAACTACAGCAGAATCCTCTGATGCACCCATGCTGCTCAGGCCCAGAACCGTACAGATGCCACTAGTTCAGAAGAGCTTTTATGTAGAAACTCTGAAAATAAAAATCACAAGGCGCTTCACAAAAACAAAGAAATCTAAGTATAAAAAGATTTCTAAATGTTTAAAAATATGTTTAAAAGGAGAAAAGTAAAAATGTAAGGAAAGGGAGAGAAAGTGAATATTTAGTTGACTCATTTAATCCAGTAACCATCATGAAGAACAGAGCCCGTGAGGTCGGTTTCAGACGCGTCTAGAGCCACCCACAAGCCAAAAAGGCTCTGTCCTGAAGCAAACACACCTGTGTGGTTTTAAAGTTGACGAACCCTAAAATGAGATTCTTATATGAAGTTGTTTTAGGATTATTTTGGTTTATAAATTTGACTTAAATCTAATTAAGGCTCTAGAAACAACCTGTGGTGTGTCGGTCCAGAAGCAAGGACCCAGGTGTCACCAAGATGTGAAAAGTCTAACCAGACCAGCAGAGATCGTTCTAACTAAAGACGACTAAAACTGCTTCTGACGTGAAAAGTTCCATTTAAAGAGTGTTTCCTAAAAGAGCTGAATGGAGACGTGATTTACGCTTGGACGGGAGACAGGCCGAGACACCTGGACAGACCACCTGAGCTGAGAACAGCCAGCTTCCCATCCGGACCTGGACCATGTGGGAAAACCCAGACTGGGTCTGGTTCTACATTCTTCTGTTTGTGAGATGAAGCTAGGAGGAGACACTGGCTAGGTCGGTGTCCTCCTAACTCCCTACTGAGTGGAAAACTGAACCAGAGACATCAGTGACTGAGGACATGTCGTCTCCAGCAGGTTCAATAGAGGTTTCAAGGTATTCTGTCCCTTCAGACTAAACGGTGCAGCAGCGCCCCCTGGAGTCAAAGTTCTTTCATCGCCAATCTGATCCTGGATCTGATTATCGTGTTTGAATGACAGACCGACGAGATAGTCTCACATAGTTTATCACATACACGTGGAACGGGCCGGCAGGAAAGATGTGTTCTGGGTTAATAAAGGTTTATTCATCACTGTGGTCTGCTGACTTTTCCACTCTGTGTGGAATCAGGAAGCTCACCTGGAAAATTCAACAGGACTAAATTATTTCTACTTGGAGACACGTCCACACACCCAACATACCCTCAGTTCTGCCCCACATCTTTTATTAAAGGAACTCGCTGAAGCTCTCCGATTCAGGTGTGTAATAAAAAATCTAATCAGTCATTTTTCTTTCACGGGTATTTCCATCCGTCTTCAGCTCCAGACGTTAGGACCATATGATGGTCATGAGCAGAAATCCAGCCGACCGTTACAGTACAGGTGATGACCTCTGGACACCAGGGCAGGGGCTGACAACAGTAAATGACACAAGAATAAAAATAAAACCGTTGACACGTAGAGGCTGGAAAAGCTCTACCTGCAGAGGTGGAGACGTCCTCGTGAGTAACACTGACCCTCGGGTCTGTAGGACTAACAGGTTTTTTTGTTTAAATCCACCAGACGTTTCTACCAAAAGTTTTAAAATTTACCACAGAAAATCTTTTATGGTAACACTTCAGTTTAGGGAACACAAATTAACCATTAATTAGCTGCCAATTAATATGCATATTAGTGGACTACTAAGTCTTCATTAGTCATTATTAGGTGCTTATTACCAATGCCACAATTCTAACATCAACAGGCCATAAATTAAATGGTAAATGGCCTGTATTTGATATAGCGCCTTGTAGAGTCCTAGAACCCCCCAAGGCGCTTTACAACACAATCAGTCATTCACCCATTCACACACCCATTCACACACTGGTGGTGATGAGCTACGATGTAGCCACAGCTGCCCTGGGGCGCACTGACAGAGGCGAGGCGGCCGAGCACTGGCGCTACCGGTCTCTCCGACCACCACCAGCAGGCAATGTGGGTTAGTGTCTTGCCCAAGGACACAACGACAGCAACAGACTGAGCGGGGCTCGAACCTGCAACCTTCCAATTATGGGGCGCGAGCACTTAGCTCCTGTGCCACCGTCGCCCCAATAAAAATAAAATAGAATTGTATCTAAATAAGCCATTCATAATGGTTTGTTAACTGAAAGTAAACCGGTTGTTGCTGATTAGCACACATACTAATTAGCTCAAATCAGTATGTGGCTTTTAAAGGAGTATTTCAAGGGGAACATATTGTTGCCTTTATATGGTTAATTAATACTAAACTACCAGTAATTAGGTATGAACAAAATCTGACTTTAGAATGGGGAACATATTCTTGCTTACAAGTGGTTAATTGATCGTTGTTTAGGCTCTATTAACATGTGGAGTTTGGTGTTTATTTACATAATACCAGACCATAATATTTTTGGTTATTAATGCAGAATAACTATTACCCCCGAATTACTTCTTTGATTTGGGCTAATTAGTAAGTGCGTTAATCAGCAACAAATCATTTACTTCAGTTAACAAACCATTATGAATGGCTTATTTTGATAAAACTCTTAATTTAAATTTAGATTCTTTCTCTGGAATCTCCAGAGAATCAAGAAAATGATGGACAACCCTGAGCGTTCTCTTCACAAGAGTGTCCGACAACGGAAGAGTGTCTTCAGTCAGAGGCTTCTTCAGTTTTGCTGCAACACTGACCGCTACTGGAGATCCTTCCTGCCAACAGCCATTGTAATATACAATAACCCTTTGATGACTTGATTATTATTATAATTATTCTGAGCTACTACAGCAATCAATTTCCCTCTGGGATTTATAAAGTATTTTTTGAGTTGAATTTATAGCCTGTTAATGTTAGAATTACAGCATTAGTAATAAGCACCTAATAATAGCTTAATAATGAGTAATTAAGACTTAGTAGTCCACTAATATGCATATTAACTGGCAGCTAATTTATGGTTAATTTTTGTTCCCTCTTTTACTTGTAAAACATACAGTAAACCCAGGTGCAACTCATCCATCTAACATTTACACCAAAGAGGTTCCAGCGCTAAACCAGGACAGGTGTTGGGACCAGTCCTCAACTGGTTCGGTCCAGTTTAGCTTCCATCAGCAGAGTGATGCATAGAGCCCACCTGACCCCCGTGACTGGTGTGGATCTGACCCGCTCCTTCTAATCAGCGCTGCCAACAGGTGTGACCCAGCACCTGGTTTCCGAAGGCCTGACGAGAATTAGAAACAGAAATAAAAGCTGTGCAGCGACCAGCCTGGGTGAAGAACCCACTCGTGTTCCTCCTCGGTTCCTCTGACTCACTGAAGCTGGTTTTTATGGTTCTGCCCTTAATGAGTCGGAACACGCCGTTGCTCACCTGAAGCTGAAGCACTGTTACACCCGCTACTTCCTCCCTGCAACAAGAGCACTGGTCCCAGTTTAGCACTGGAATCTGTTTGTTGGACCCCCACTCCCCAGGGCGACAGCTTTTTGACCTCTCCACCCGACTGTTATAATGCTGGCCGGCCATTCAGTTTGTCATGCATGAGCGTGATGGCTCCACCTGTGAAGTCTCTGAGAACCTGCACCGTCTCCCGCTGCAGCTGCAACGACTCACGCACAAACTCCTGCTGCGTCTCTGCCAGCTGCTGCACGGACTCTGCCAGAAGCTCTAGTGAGCGCGACACGGTCTCTAGCAGGATGTTGGTGGCGTGTTGCTCCTGTAGGCTCAGGGACGCGTTCTGCAGCAGGCTGTCCCTCGTGTTTAGCGGAGGCTGATGTGGCGTAGGAAGCGTGGCTGCTGTCTGCGGCTGACCTTGTTTGTGAACGCCGTTGTTAACTTGATGATCAGCTGCAGATTTTGCTGCCTGAGATGAAGAACGCGAATCTTCTCTTTGTTCCTCATCCGAATCTCCGAATCCAGTTTCAGTGTCTGGAACCAAAGAAAATAGAAACATGTTGAATATTTTTTTAAATGTAATTAAATGTTGTTTCAACGAGGATTACATGGAGTCTATTTTCTCTGAGTAGTTTATGGACTTATTTCAGTTCTGATCCGAGACCAAATCACCTTCAGGTGGAGGAACTTCATACTGCACATCAAACGCAGGCTGTGACGAGTCCCCTGCAACAGCCAAAACGATTATTAAAGCTTAAATCACACATGCAATCCAAAAATAATTCCCTTAACTGTTTCTGAGGAGTGACATACTGCCTTAACTTCACATTCTTAGTTGACATTTTAGCGCTACCTGAATGTGTCAGTCCACTCGTGCTGTAAGGTGGTGGTGGTGGCATTGATGTTGCATTCATACCGCCGTTTGGAGAATTATGCATTCCAATCATATCCTCCTCATCCATTTCTTCCTCCTCCTCTGGCACGTCGTCATCATCTCCCAGTGGGCCAAAGTCACTGGTGCTCTGGTCATCATCTTCGTCCATCTCCAGAATCTGGAGAACTATCTTCTCTGTCTGACTGAGGTCTCGGGAAAGACGAGAGTTCAGTCCCCGGTGTGGCACTGTTCCCGTCCGCATGGCAGCCACCTTCCGTTTGGTGTCACACTTTAGGTCAGACCATTTCTTGATGACCTCTATGACCTCACGCTGGCACTCTCCAATCTCATTGACACGTACTGTAATCTCTGCCCATGTCCGCTTCTTAGTTTCTGTCGCCACTCCACGATTAAATTTGCCTGTAAGGGACAGACACGTTTCACCTTTTAGACAAGTATTTAAACTGGTGCACAACAACACCGTGATCCACAGACACGTACCCACTACAATGGCACGATTCCTTCTCACTTCATCCAACAGGACATGGACTTCGCTGAAGGAAAAACGAGCTTTTCTTTTCTTGAAACGGGTTGCACTGTCCTGGCTGTAGAAGACTGATGAAGACATCCTTTACACCTGCCTCTTAAGATCTCCAGCTGTTAGAAGAGGAGCCACAGCCTGCTTAAAGACAACAAAAACATCTAGTATGGATGCTGACAGTTAACGTGTTGCAGCACCAGGTGGGTGCATGAACCGGATGCCTGGTACTGAGATGCTGTACAGGTCAGTGATGCGTTCAGATGCACCTGGCTGCTCAGTGAAAAGAATTCTATTGAGCTAGTCAAATGCAATAATATCCTACTATATGTCCACCAAAGCACAGGAATAACGCACAGTAAGAATGTCAAAGTGGATGAACAATGGCGCGGTTAGCTCGCTGCATGCACACCACTCTCGGGTTGTTGGTGTGTGAGTGGGGTACAACTGGCCCTAAACTGCACGGTCTTCACCACCTAAACATCAGCAAGTAACTCAATGTACTTCACACAGACCAACACGCACTTGGGTGCCTTTCGTCTAGAGTTGCACAACAAAAACACTAGCGAAGCTAGCTTCCTGCACCAGCAGGTCTACGGCAGCTAAAGCTAAATTTAGGAATCATGAATTTGGATCACAAGCAGGCTTCAAAGGGTACATACTTAGGATAAATATGAGCCACAGAACGGTGAATAAACCCTTGCGATAAAAAAGAAGCAATTTTGTCCAGAAACGTCAGAAAAAGGTCCCTTATCATCAAGATTAGCAACCGTCAAGCTAGCCTGTTTGCCGCTAGAGTTGAACAATTAATGTCCGATTGAGTGGTTGAGAAAATAAAGCTCAGTGAGCGTTTACGTTTTAAGTCAGCTCTAAATTTAGTTACATTGGTAGATTCACAAGTACATATGTAATTGGTCGCAACGTGATGGATAGATTTGCTAATTACTCAATTTCATTAAAAATTTTAAATTACAGTTTAGCTTTTACGTGGAGTGCCTTTACGTTGAAGGAGAACCATGAACTTCCGGTATTTCAGGCTGACGGTCTCCATGCAGCAGCCCCTCATTGCGGCTCTTTCGTTTGTGAACTTTTGATGCGCTGTAATAGTCTGTTTCAGTTCAAGCGTTGTTTTCAGTAATCTGCTGCTCTGATAATGTTCAGTTTTGTTTTTTGTTGCGTGTTGAAGCTGGAACCATGTCAAGATCCAACCATGATTTGGGCCATTTTTCAAGTGGTTCTGTGGTTCTATGCAGGGGCGTCTCCAGGCTTTATGAAACACCTGGGCTGAGCCCAGACCACAATTTCACTTAAGTAAAAACAAGTGTTATATATATAATTTTTTGCACTGTAATATTACAGCATATATATATATATATATATATATATATATATATATATATATATATATATATATATATATATATATATATATATATATATATATATAAGAGAGAGAGAATTATACAAAGTAAAAGCCTACATTTAGTTTCCAATGCATGCATGTTAAACAGTGAAAAATTACTGCAAAGTCAAACAATATTTCATTAGGTATTTATTTCCAATATCACAGAAAAGCAAGAAAGTAAATAAGAAATAAGTAAAATAAACAAATAAAGAAAGTGGCATATTTTAGTTACTGCTCTGGAATAAACCGTGTTTGTCACAGTCTGTCTTTCTCTTTTATTTATTACAAGAGTTTGGGATCATTAAAGTGTACCTTCTTGGTTTGATCATTGCAAACCTGTCTATGACTGTTATGGTCTGCAGAATGCACAGCATCCCTCTCAATGGCCATCACAGCCAGGCTATTTAGCCTATTCTGACCCATGGTCAGTCTTAGCCATGTGTGTAGGCGACATAGAGCACTGAAAGACCTTTCACAAATGCAACTGCTCACAGGAATGGTTAATGCCACTTGAAACACTGCTCTGAGGCTTGGAAACATGGTAGGGTTAAGAAGAAGAAACACACTTGCCACATCTGAAATGGTGCCTTCTTTTTTTCCCATCAGGAAGTGTTTTGCAACTACAAGCTCTTCTTTTCTGAGTGAGATATTGTAGTGACTGGCAATTAGTTCTATTGATTGTCCACACATGAAGTCCTCTGCTGCTGGATGACAAGCTTGTATGCCTTTCATCAGATCAGTGCCAACACCACTAAATCTTCTCTCCAGCTCACTTAGCATTCTATCAATGCATGGGTAGAATATGTGGTGTCTCAGCTCATCCCCAGAGCTTGCTTGACATCTTGTGCCTGTGGTAGACTCCACCACATAGTCATCTAAACGCCTTTGCTTTCTTTTTCGAGAGACATCTTGTGAATTGTTGGCCTCAGAAATATCTCTGGCCTGTTTGTCTTAACTGATCTGCAGTTTCATCGGTCCGCATTGATTTTAGAGTTTCAAGGATGGCGTCTTTGTACATGGTAGCCTGGGCTAGGTCTATGTCCTGCTTCTGGAGGTACTTGTGGAGCCCCTCTGTAGTGGACAACAGACTTTTAAACATTACCAGCATATAAACACTAGATAATCTGACAAGTTGTGTGTGTAATCCAATTGCAATGGGATCATTCATTTCTGCCAGGCACCTTAGCAGTGCAGGGAAGTTAGCAATGACACAAGTTACAGACTGTAATTGGCGTGCCCATCTAGTCTTAGATAGCTGAACTAGCTGACTCTATTTTAAACCCAAGACTTTTTGCATGTCAGTGAAAGCCTTATGATTGATCAGAGAAACACTAAAGAAACTACAACCTCTCTAGTGTGTTAAAGAAATCACTGGCGTCTGACACAGCCTTGCAAGTGTGGCACAGCACCAAATTAAGTTCATGAGCGTAGCAGTGCACATAAGCTGCTTCTGGATGCCTTTGATGAAAAAGAGCCTGAACTCCTCCAACTGGACCACGCATCACTGCTGCTCCATCGTATGCTTGTGCAACACATTACAGTTCTTGCAATCCATTTGATTCTAACACATTTTCTATGGTGTCTGCAATGGAAACAGCATCAAAGGACTCAAGATTGGAAAGCTGAAGAAAACGCTCTTTCACTGTGTCATCAGACCCCATATAACGCACACAAACAGCAAGTTGCTCAACACGACCATCACGAGCTTCATCAGCCATCACTGCAAACATTTTTGAATGTTTCATCTCATTAATGATCCCAGCAGCAACCTCATCAGCACAACACTTGATCATTTCATTTTGTGAACCAGAGGAAAGATCGGTGGAATGAGAGGGTGCACTGTGGTCTTTTAGAAACGGGTCAAATTCCTCCAGGCAAGTCAAGAGCTCCAGGAAATTCCCCCGGTTGCTTGAGGAATCTGTTTCATCATGGCCTCGGAAAGGCATTCCCTGTTATATTGTAGCCACAACATGACGAAGGTACTCTCTCCGTTCGGTGATCTGGTCAATGCTGGCCACATTTATTCGGTCAACCACACTGCCTTTTGTCAAAGTTACCTTATAGCCATTCCAGGCAAGCATTGAAGCCTTGTATCCTGCACGTGTCATGCTCTCTGAAGCTGTCCAATGCTCTTTTCCAGTTGGAAAAACCAACCATGCTAGTGATGCTGTCTTTTTTTGGCTGCCATGCCTGCTTTCCAAAGACTCTGCAGCTGTAGCAGAATGCTGAATTTTGACTGATCGAATGCTCCAGCCACTCAAAAGAGTCAAACCATTTTCTTTGGAATGACCTCTGAAGTCCAAAGTTTTTGAAAGGGTGCAAGATGGAAGCTGCATGTTTGTTTCTCTTTGTTAAATTTCCAGATTGATTAAAAAAAATACTGCCTGCTACTTTCTACTAACTACATACCATTTGAGTAAATTAGACTACATGCATTCAAAATGCATTAAGTGTATTACAAATCTGTTTAATTTGGTTAGCATGCTCAAGAACAAAAAAGGTGAATAACTATTACCAATCTCTATGGTTGATTCAAAGACCTCTGCTGCAGCTCACCTTTGCTTCTTTTTACAAAGATTTCCTTATCATATTAGAACTCTGATTTCCCTCCTTTACACTCTGATGTCAATTTCACATTACCTTGCTGTCAAAACACAACACACAATTTTCAGGTTTACACACACTTTCCACATAAATTCTCAAAGCTTCAATCAACAACACACAAATATTCAAATCTCTAAACTTTCGGGTCTGGCGAGCAGTTTGCAATCAGGGACTGCAGCATAAAAGTAAGTTTCCACAAGGCTACCAGGTGTATGAGTGGTTTCAGGAACACCCACGGTTTTCCATTTTATACCTTCCACCTTATTCCCCCTTCCTCAATCCCACTGAGTTTTTCTCAGCCTGGAGGTGGAAGGTGTACGAAAGGAACCCAAAGAGCAAGGTCCCACTGCTTCAAGCCATGGAGGACGCTTGTAGAGATGTGGCCTTTGAGGCCTGTCAGGGCGTCACTCGAGGCGGTACTTCCAGCGCTGTTTGGACCAGGAGGACATCGCCTGTGATGTTGATGAGGCCCTCTGGCCAGACAGAGACCGGCGGCATGATGCCCCATGATTATGCTTGGGGGGGGGGGGGGGGGGGGGGGGGGGAATTGGATGCAGACATCCTGCTGCTCAACTCCACCAGGATGTAGTGGCTCAGCATCTCTGCAGTTGCATATGCGGTATTCTGGCCACAGAAGGCCATGGGGGTCTTAGTGACATTAACCCTGTAAGAGTCGTTTTAGCACATACTGGCTCAAGAAAATGATTTAAAATATGAAAAGGTTGCACAGCGTTTATGGTTTACGTCCTGAATCAGACCCGAGTTCAGCACGACACAACTCTAGAACCCAAATGTGTCTAAAGACTTTTATAAAAACAAACCAGACGATCAGTTCAAATATGGCACAAGAATTTATTTGATACAAGCACGTTCAGTTACATGCAGCTGTAGTTAAAACCCTTTAAAAACACATTTCCCCTGTTTGCAGCATGCAACAGTGGCGCACACACACAGACACCTGTAAAATAAGAAGTCGCACACACGTCATGCCAATATAATTGGATGCAGACAAAATGCCAACGTTTACAGTGATAAACAGCCAGAGGAGGCCTCTTAGGGTGGTAGTTTGTATCCAACATGATGATGATGATGGCCGAAGAACACACGACTGCTGCTGTTTAACAACAGGTTTGACAAGAAAACTCTGAAAACGTTTCACGTTTCTACATCTCAGACATCCTTCAGTTTTCATTTAAGCAGTAATAAAACAGGTGAGCCGTCGCACCCTCACTGATGTGGGCTGGCTTCACAAAGTCACTAAATGAGACCCGAGCGCTGCTAAAATCAATCAGGCCAACCCCAAAACAACATCCTGATGTTTGACACCAACTGCTGTTGTGAAAGCTGTTCAGGGCACGCCCGTTTCTGAGAAGGTGCTTGGTGACTAAATTCATGTTGACACAATCACACCCCCACAGGTGTAACACCCAAGCAAACTGTCACTCAGGTAGCGTGTACACACCCAGAGTTCAGTGCTGAAACAAAAACCAAGCAGTTAGCTTCCACCGCTGGAAGACATTTTTGTAGTACTGTATCATATTTATATGGTGTGAGCTTCAGTTCAGTGGTGAAAGTGAGACTATCCTCCAGTTTAAAGTACCCTGTGATCAGGAAAACTCCATAACAGAACAAGCTTTGTGAAACCAGCCCCGACATCTGCGACAAATTTGTTACTCTTCCAAGTTTTTCCACTAATAAAAGTTAGGCGGCCCGCCTCTTCGAGTGCTTTTGTTTGGGGGACACACACACACACACACACACACACAGCTCAGGATTTACTTCCAGATCTTGGCTGTGGGCACGGTTCTACCTGCAGGACTGTGATTGGCTAGATTTCTGTTCTGGCATGCATGCCAGACCTTAGAGGCATTCCTTTTAAATAAATACCTGCAAGTCCCATACGGGGGGAGCTTCGGGGTTATGTATAGAATAATTTGAATTGTGTGGCTAGATAAGTGATTTCTTATAAACAAGCGGGGTTGGGGGGGGGGGGGGGGGGGGGGGCTCAGGAGTACATGGTCAACTGAAGCCACTGGAAAGAGAAAACAAGGTAACGTTATAGGAACCCTGAGTCAGACAAGCCTGACAAGTTTTACATTCCTCTCGTTTCTTTACCTCTTTAATGTTGACTTTGATGGTGCCATTGTTGTCCTTATCCAGGGTCTTGAAGGCACCTGCATCAGATCAGACATTAAACCTCAGGAGCAGAGAGAACATTGTAGTTCAGGGCGGGGCGGTGAAACTCACGGCACATGGCATCCAGCCTCACAAGACAGCCGATGTAGTTGTCAAAATCCATGTTCCCACTCTCATCGCTGTACCTGCGAATGATCATGTTGAACAGCTGGTCGTTCAGACGGAACCCTGCACAGAAACGGCCGCAGGTAAAACCTCTGTTCTCACAGGAAGCTCAGTCTGATGAGGAGGTTACAGTAAAGCAGAGACCGGAGAAAATACCGACAAGCACAATGCAAATGGTCCAGGCCTGTGCGCTTGCATCAGCATGAAACAGACGACAGCTGAAGGTGCTTACCTTTTCAGAGAGCATGTATGAAACATGAATTAAATCCTCACCAGCAGCTGTGAAAGCCTTTGGCAGCTCGTTTGGCCCGATGGAACCAGAGCGATCCTCGTCGAAAGTCTTGTACACGCCCTAAACGGGAACGGTATAAACATTCAAAGCAGTTAAACCACGAGCGTCTGAGTTTCCAACACACACACACTTTTGTATTTGCCCAGCAGGTCTGTGTCCAATAGGGACATCATTTGCTGATCTGAAACATTTCAGTGACCCAAAACAGAAATCTGGAGGACCTGACGTTCGTCACATCCCTGCTGAACCTACCTGCCATTTTTTAATATTGTCCCAGAGATATTTAAATTCGTGGAAGCCCAGTTTTCCTGTGCTGTCGCTCTGAAACAGTTTTAAGGACAAGTTCTCCCATAGGACTCCTGTTTGTTTTATATTCATGCAACAGTAGGGAGACACAAAGGTCCAGGCCCTCATTTATCAAACATTCGTAGAAACTATCCTATAGTCCCTCCTACACATGAATGTGTGTATGAACAGTAAAAAATCCTAATCCATGAAACACGCAGTGGCCTTTCGTACACATGCTCCTCCACATTCGTCTGATGATAAATCCCACCTGTGTGTACCGAGGTGCTCGTGTCCATTCTCAAGTCAATTATATACAGAAACAACCTCATTTAACCATATTTGGTCACACTTTGTCCTCAGCACGCACGTGAAGGACCCCCCCCCCCCCCCCCCCCCAAAAAAAAAACCAAAGGTAAATTTTGGCAGCAAAATTGAGACACCAGCTGCGAAAGTGCAAAAGAACCAAAGAAGTTGGAGCGGTTCTAAATGCAGTCAGGACAGAGGAGAGGTTCCCGTCAGGAATAAATAAAAAATGTAATCTGATAATTGTAGAGTAACTGGTTGTCCATTTAAGGAGTCGTTCTGTTTGGAGCTAGTTTTTAGGAAATGTCTGAGTGCAGCGTCTTCCGAGCTGTCATTCAGTCTGGTTACCTTGTTAACGCGGCATGCATGATCGGGGAGCAGAGAAGGTATGATCGCAGCATGTGAAATATGGTCCCCGCCTATCTCCAGAAGGATCTTTTTCGGGGAGATCAGCGCGCTCACGGAGGATGTGTTCCCTCCAGAGTGCAGGCTCTGCCAAATCCTCCAACACAGATCAGCCATGATTTAACGTCTCAGTCCTGTCAGTCATGTCTTATTGATTTTAGCACCAATTATGCAATAAATAAATAGATTTAAAAAAAAAATAAAAAAAAATAAACTTTTTCCACCAACAATTATTTATTGGATAAAATACTTAACTCACTAACGGGTGCCGGTGCGTGAGAAGCAGGCAGGTGCTGCTGCGTTCAAGTGTTACAATTTTTTTTAATGAATTCGATTAAAAATAAAGGGGCCCGGCCCGTATCCGAGGTAATTACACAGTCGTTGGCCCGAAGCCCGGCCCTCGGGCCAGGCCGACCCGCGGGCCTAGGGCTTCAGTGCAGGGCTCTATCGTAGATATAACCAGAGCGGTTCTTATTTTTAGGAACATTTCTATGCAAAATTGGTAAATAACACAAACATGTGTATAATCAGTACTGTGCAGATCTGTCCATAAGTACGGCTGATGAATGAGGGCCCAGATCTTTAGATTGTCCTGCCACCGTTCTGGCACTGTGCTGATTTACACAGGAAGGATACGTCCATGACTGCCACCATGCTTCTGCACGACTCAATGCTGAAACCATCCGTCTTCAGGTCTCCATCTACAAACAGCCCAGTTAGTGACAAGAGCCTCTTTAAAGGAACAGGGACTTGATCAAACATGGTTCAGACCAGACTCGTGAGCAGAAACTAAAGAACAGATCTCACGTTTTCCGATGATCTTGTTCAGGATGTTCATCAGCTCAGTTGGGCTCACCTCCATGTCCTTTCATTTAGCATAGAAGGAAATAGATTAAAAACAACTACTGTTGGGTTTAAATTTTTATCTTATTAAAATAAGTTATACACAAACAAATCCACACAGAGCCTCCTAACACTCACATCTCCAGCAAGCTGCTGGAAGACTCTACGAAACTGTTTCTCCTCATCACTTTCATGTTTCTCTGCATAGGCCACTGGTCTGCGGGGTGGAGGCTGTGGGAAAGGGGCACCAGGAAACCATTACACACACTGGTCCAGTCAGCAGAACAGCTGATCACATCCTGTCTGACACTTACGGGGTTGGAGGGAGCAAACTGCCCTGGGTCAATGTTGCTGTGGAGAGACGATCAGCCATTCAAAGGTGAACAAATACAATCAGACTGTCTTCAAATTGGTTTTCCATATTCTCACCTGACAACATCAATTAAGCCGCCGATAAACTGTTTGGCAAAAAACATCTTAGGTCAACTGGAATCAGAGAAAATAAAACAGACAAGCTTCAACAACAAGCCGGAAGTCCACAGGGCTGTTTCATTTCCCTGAAGCTACAGAAACATTTTACTTGTCCGGTTTTGTTTACAAACAATGAGGGCAGCTAGAGGTGGAGATGATGGCAAGCAACCGGCCGATTAGCAGTCGTGTTAACCTGGTTAACTAGTTAGCATGTTCTCTTTACTAGAGAGCCGATTAACGGATTGCAGCCCAACCTGATGGGTTTGTTTTCAGAAATTAAAGCTCTTTTACGCAGACACACCCTCGGCTCCAGAGTTCCTGGTTTGATTTTTACCATCGTGGCAAACAAAAAAGAACAAGATGTGCAAGAAAACACGCGCGTGTGTTTATATGAACACAACTTCAGTGTCCGGAACTCACCGCTGGTAACTCCGGGTTAGTTAGCTTTACGTCTGGTTAGCTTGTTAGTTATTTAATAAAATAAAATAAACATTCGGTTAAAGCAGTTTCGTTGCCGTAAAAACACCTGACATACCAACCGCGTTCATTCTACAACAATAAGCATAAAACGAAGCCTTTTATTAAGAATAAACTAACTTCACATCAGCTGTCCCAACATTACACTGCAACATTCGGTCTGATTTAGCTAAACTGGGCCTTTAGCTAACTTCCGAACTTCCGTTAAAGGTAAACACCGGCCCGGTATCCTAACACCGGGTGTTTTAGCCACACTTACCGTTTAGTACAAGTGCTTCAAAAAGATTACCTCAAGCTCAGTCCGACTTTTAATGCGAGTTTGTCTAAAGGCAGCAGGCAAGAGCGAGCCTCCGTGAACACGCCCCAGCTGACACACTACTGACGCCGATGGCAGCTTAAAGCAAGCTAACTTATCACAAAATAGTAGGACAACGACGGCAGTAAAGGCAAGCCAATTTATCACAAATTAGACAAACGGAAGAGAGAGACACACCGACCCCGCGTGACCGCTATTGCCTATGGGCGCTGACGAGCGGTGGCGCCGCCATCTTGGATCGGTCGAGCCCCCTCTCTTCGACAGGGGCATTGAAGTGTCAGCATGTTACATCAACCATAACTCCTTGAATTCTGAACCGATTTTGATGCGGTTTTCTTCTCTGCAAACGTCACACATGTAGCTCTGATACAGCACACATGTTGTAGCGTTTTTATTAATAGTGGGTTTGCTGCGGATGCATATGTGACTCTTGTCTAGAGCTTAGTGTCAAAACTTAAAGAAAAAAAGCTCAATCACTAAAAATCAGTCAAACAATGTCAATCAAACTAACTAAAAGTTTTCATACAACAGGTGTGTGAGATTTATGACAGGTATTTAAAAACACTTAATATATGATAGAGATGCAGAAACTACTACTCAGCCATTTTAATAAGCAAAATACAATTCTTATAGGTAACAATTAAAATAAATGAGTGTTTGTGTAATTCATATACATATAGTGTCAATACAATTCAAAGAGAGGGTGAGAGAGACTAAGTCTGGATGACAAGAACAAGACAATCCGTCCATCAGAACTGACAGAATAAAATTCTGGTTCTGTTGTATTTTTGTGTGTTCCCTTTTTCTCTCTGTCCCTTTGTGCAGATCTAGAAGCTGGTTCTTGTACATCTTTTAATGTTTATTTTGTGAATTCTTCCCCCATCTCTTCTTTTCCTCTCCCCCATTCTCTTTAATTTCTGTCTCCAAGAGCATCTTTAATGAAATTTAGACATCAAGTGGAGGATTACAACTGATTCTATAAAGCTCTACCTGTGAGAATAAAACTGAGGCTTGTTTTCGGATCTCAACATCAGTTCTGATTGCTTTACAGCCAGACAGGACGCCGGAAGAGAGAGAGAGAGAAAAGAGCTGACTACTTAAAGGAGTTAATTTATTTGTTGTGTCTTAATTTATCTGTTACTTGTGTTGAGAAAATTTTAAAATAGTGATACATGGAATATTTTGGGGGGTTTAATTATGACCATTAAGATGTGCAGATTCTATATGAATATAGAATATCAATCTGATTGATCTTTGTATTATTATTATTATTATTCAGTGACTATAAACACACTTCGTATTAATTCAGACAGAGTCAAGTATATAATTAAAAATAAACTGTATTTTCTAGACTAATTATAATACATGACAAGTTATGAAACAATGTGTGATGAATGAATATGTGTTGATGGAATGCAATATGTGATGATGGAATGTGACTTTTATCAGAACCTTTGTATCTGGAAGAAACTGTGAGTTCTGGGTGTAAAAGACTTTGGTATGCTATAAACTAGAGAGTTGATTTATAAAAAAAACAGCATCTGACACACTCTTGTTGTGTCTACGTACCCTTCGGAGACCCTCTTTTGGATCTGAGATGTCGAGGGTTCGGGTGACCCCAAGGCACTGAAGTTTGCAGATTAAATGCAATGCGACCAGGTCAGTCCAGAGTCGTCTCCAGGTCACAACAGCATGAAGGTTGGTTGCGTCTTAGGGTGGATCCTTTAGTAGTCGAAGCTGTGTCAGCTTTGCAGCTTGCAAACAGGTTTTGACAGCTTGTCAAAAGCTTTGATGGTTCAAAGAGTTTGCCTCCGGATAGGCCACTCCGAAGTTCTGCTCATAAACTCAACTCAGCTCAACTGAACTGAACAGCATGGGAAGTGATCTAAGTTTTATCAACTCCTATGTTATGATTTTCTGGCAAATCACAACGTACCATGTTAAGGAGGTTTTACCAAACGAACCTCAGAAACACTTCTTCTCCAGATAGAAGATGATCTGATTTGTGGATAAGAAAATCTCTGTGTCATGACATTACTGCATTCTTGTGTCATGAAGATATGTACGTGTGTGTGAGCTTGTCAAGTAGATTATAAACCAAACGTATTATTGCAAGGACACATTAATTTCAGCCTTATTAATTTAGGCACACATTAATCAAAACATTTCATTTAACCCCTTGTTCATACTTATATGATAATTTACATATTTCATTTAATCATTCAGTGAATTATGCACAGATTATTCAAACATATAACATCTGGTTCATTCAACCATTTGATTATTTAATTTATAAGTCGAAAAAGTTCACTTTTTATTCAGAGTGGAATCCAGCAGTCTGAGACAAGAGGAAAGCTTTCAGAATCAGAATCAGAATCAGAAAAGGTTTATTGCCATTGTTAGTGAACAAACGATTCACAAACTAGGAACTTTAAGACCTTGGGAGAGAGTGTTTCTTGACTATCTTGTTATCTTGTGTAACAAACGCTGCAGAGTCTCCTGGGCTTCAGGAGACAGACAAGAGAAATCCACCCAGTTAGCAGGCTTATACTTGCAGATGATGTCGGTCAATATACAGGTGAAAAATGACCCTTTCTGGACGCTACAATAGTAACTGAAAGCTTTACATGAGCTAAAACCCTTGAAGGAGGACTGCTTTGTAGAACTTTTATCTGGAGCTACCTTCTGCAGTTAGAGAGGTGAGATCGACCACATGGGGCTGCCTTTTCTTCAGATGTTAACCACTAACATCACGTATGACGGCTGTGGCATCCAGCATGACTGCTGCACATCTTAGCCTGGTCTTTCTGGCATCCTGATGTTCAGGCCAGGCTTGTCATCCACCAATCACAGCCTTCTGTCAAAGAATTGGGAGCCTAAGTCACACCTACCTACTTCCACATCATGGAAGACTGAAAAAATGATTGCAAGTCAATGGGACTAAAAACACTATTTTCTAATTCTGCTTGCTATGTGCCATGAATTTCACATATGATGTCCCTGAATTTTAAACACACATTTTGATACCAAAAACACACTTATTTTCGAATAGGGGGAAACGCTATTTTAGGTTTTGTGTGAAAATAAGTCCATCCAGCCATCCATCCATCCATCCATTGTCTGAACCCGCTTGTCCATGTAGGGTCGCAGAGGGGCTGGTGCCTATCTCCAGCGGTCAATGGGCAATCAGGCGGGGTACACCCAGGACAGAGAGCCAGTCCATCGCAGGGCAACACAGAGACACACAGGACAAACAATCATGCACACACACACACACACACACACCTAAGGACAATTTAGACAGATCAATCAACATAACAGTCATGTTCTTGGACTGTGGGAGGAAGCCGGAGTACCCAGAGAGAACCCACGCATGCACATGGAGAAAATGCAAACTCCATGCAGAAAGATCCCAGGCCGGGAAGCGAACCCAGGACCTTCCTGCTGCAAGGCAACAGCTCTAACCACTGCACAGCCAGTGAAAATAAGCCCAGGACTACAAATGCGCTTCATGAAAGTGACATTATCAAACCAGACATGGAGGAAACTGAGGGAAAAGGGCTGTAAGTTCAGCAAACTTCCCACAGGAGAAAAGAACCACCATAAATCTGGTCATGTGGTAAGTAGCAGCTACTTTGGGGAGAGGAGATTATGTGGTGACGTCACATATACGATGTGCCGATTTCTAGTTTGTAGTCATGCTAATTGCGAACTTTTACAAGCTGAGAAATCTCAAAGTACATGACTGCGTGGTCGAAACACTTATCATTACTTTACATTTAAAATGAATTACAAAATACTGAATGTGTGATCCAGGTGATCCAGGGCGTAAGGCAAAGCCGATTAGACAATAGTGTTTTTAGCCCCGTTAACTTGCATTCATTCTTTCGTTCTTCCGGGGACCCATGGTGCGGAAGTAGACTTAGGCTCCCTATAGAAACATATTTAAAAATGCTATTTGTAGAAATGAAGTAAAAATGGCATCCTGTATTAAAATGTGGTTACTGCAACCACTTTAAACAACTTTGGAGCATCTTGCCAGCTGTCGTCGAATTACAATAGTGGGCGCTGCAGTTTTAGCTCGCAGGAGACATGGAACCCTGACACCCACTGATGGTAAACAGTCGTTACGTCTCTCCTTCTGTTGTTTTGAAAGGAGAAATAACTGATAATCCAGCAGCCAGCTGGATATGAAATATGTTTCAGTAGAACCTTCCTTCCAAAATGACTGAAACATTGGACTCTTTTGCAATTTTCTCACTGTAAAATTCTCACTATATTCTTACATACTGCACCTTTAATGTATTGCACCAGTAATTTCAAATAGTTGAATTGGACAACATTAAGACTTGCTTTGTATTATATGTGAGTGTGGGAGGGGCAAAAATAGTCTCTCTGAGGTGTCTGTGTGCGTTAGGACCATGAAAATGATGGGTGAGAACTTCCTGCACTTCTTTGTGCATTTATGGTCCTGATTTGCCATGAAGTTAATCCGAAGATCTTAAGTTTAAAATGCAAAAGTTAATAATTCCTCTTTGTGTAAAAATAAATGAATCTGAATAGTTTGAGTTAAGTTTTCCTCATCATCCTTTTGACACCACCTTGTGTGTCCTAGTGTCACTATGACATGGTTAAATACTCACATTATCAGGCAGGACTTAAGCTTGGTTTATGCTTGACGCATTCACGCTCCACTTGGTGATGCGGCTCGCGGATGGAACGCGCTTCACAACTCGCAGCGTTTATGGTTCATGCGGCTCGTCTCTGCGGTGAGCCAATATTCTCCCAAACTGAACGGGGCAGCATGGAGCGCTACGGCATGCATCCAACACTACACCTTAGTAGAAGTAGAAATTACTATTTACAACATGGCATTCCAGCATTTTTTAACGGCGTCCTCGTCTTTTCCGACAGTGCGAGCTATTTTTCTCCAAGCATTATTAACAACATGTTGATCACGGTGATGTTTGAGAGCTGAATCATACAAATGTCTGTATTTACGAACCTCTGCCGTACTAGTTCTTGCCGGTCCGCCATGTTTTTCCGCGTCCCACCGTCCGCGTGGTTAGAAAATTTTCTAGGTGCGCGATGCAGAAATTTTGGGCCGTGCGGAGGCGCGTTG